ACGTTTTGTGTTAACTGACTATCTTCAGTCAGTTTCAAAAGTCAAGGAATTAGGAAAGTTCCAGTAAAACAAGCTCGTTCTGGCCAGAACTGTTTTTCAGGGTAGATTTTGCCTAGCACGGAACCTTGTCCTTAGAGAGATGTAATTCAGTGATTAAATTGAACCAGGAAGAACCAGAATCCATTGAAACACCCAATTATAGTTTTCCTCTCCTTGGGTATTTCTTTCCATTCCCTGTGTTTACATCTTGTATTTTAGTGTGTGAACCCTCAAAGACATAAAACCCAATACGAGGGTGGGGGAGAGGAACAGGGGTGGAATAAGAAAAGGTGCAATATATTTAAGATGAGTGTCAAAATTCAATCAACCCCAGTGAAGATGATCCCAGTTGATAGTCAATAGCTTTAATTTGGGGAGTTTGTACATTTATTCCTCCAAACTTTTGCAGAATTCTGGTTTCTAATTTCCCTCTAGGGTTTGAGATGCCATGTTTCAGAGTCCCTCAGTGGTGGTTAATTATTAACTTCTCGGTATGGAGCAGATTCCAGGACAGAGCCAAATATTGTTACTATGAGAGCAAGCAGTCAAAGGGCCTGGAGACATTTGTTTTTGTACTAGCTATAAACTTTAATATAATATAGTACAGTATGTTGTAATGTAATATAAACTATAAAGTTTATATTGGCTTGTAAACTGACTGAATATAGTTACAGAAAGAAGTTCTAGAAATATTTAGAGTATTAGCAGCATGGTTGAAATAAGCACATGGCTTCCTAAAGAGACACTGTGAAAGAGCAGTACTCACTTGCATATTTATTTTTAGTGTTAATACTTACTGGCCTACTTGCACGTCCTTGCACATAGGCAGTTAACAATTGTTCAGTGGAATTAAAATGCCCCATTAATTTTTAAAAAATATATGTTTTTATTGATTTTAGAGAGGGTGTGGAAGGAAAGAAACACTGATGGGCTGCCTTCAGTACACCCCCCCACACACACACTGGAAAAATGTCCCATTAATTTCTTAGACATGATTATATATTTTTGGTTGTCTGGGGAGATGATGCAAATTCTGAAGCCAAGAATTTGTTAACATAGAGAAAAATTTGGTGTTAAGAGGCAACTTCTCTTTAGATTTTATTTCTTTTCTCCTGCTTGTGATTTTTTTCTTTTAAAATCTCTCTTAACCATTTTTCCTCCTCCAATTTAATCTCAATGACCAACCAATGAATCAAATGAACATTTTTACATTTCTCCTTGCAAGAATGAAATGCAGAGTGGCCATCTATGTTGATTAGTTGGTATTTAATGTTAATGCCAAAACTCTATTATAGACCATTTGTTTTCCTAATAGAATATTGAATCTTACCTTTAGAAATCAAAACTAAAAGTCTGGAATTATTTTATGTAAAATGATGCACTAATTATGTGGTCATGTGTGTAGTAGATTATCTTTTTCTTTCTCTCAATCTTTATTTTTGTTTTCTGAAAGGGTCTTGCTATTATTTGATATTTTTTAATGACCCAGAAAATCCCATTCAGATAAATTATTGTCATAGGCCTTTACAAACCTGCTTTTGCTTGAAATGTTCATTTTTATAAGTTCAAATTCTAAAATAAGATGGCTTTGGTTGTTTACTTGGTACAAATATTTTCTTCTTACAATAATAATATATTGCTTAAGTTATCATCTGAATAATTTCTGAATGTTCAAGTAGAATAAAACCAGAATTCCTAAATGCAGTGGGTTTCCAAGATAATTAAGAGCCTGATATTTTGCTTTAAAATATTGGAGGCTCTTGTCATTTCACATTTATCTTCTGTAGTATCAGTGTCATCAGTATTTTCACATGATATTTTGTAAGCTCATATTTGGTTTATACAATATAGGTTCAGGGAATCACAGTTCAGAAAAGAAAGCTCAGGATTTCTTTCCTAAGGTTTTATAGGAGCAGTAACCTGAAAAGGTTAATGTACAAACTAAAGAGAGCTTGGGTAATGGTCTCTTTTCTGGCGAATTTGCAAACAAGTAATTAGATCATATTACCAGTTTTATTATTTGCTCCTTTGATGATGTCCTCTTTGTGCATACGCTCTGTCAAAGCAGAGAGTGTATTTATCTGATTAACCTTTTAAAGGTTTAAAGGGCTCAGCATAATGTTTTTGAAATGAAGACAACCACTACTTCTGCTTGACTAAATAGCCCCAAGGTCACTTTTCTGTTGAAGGAAGTAATGGAGAGTAGCCTATTCCTATTAAGTTTGACTTCTGTCAGAGAAGTAGAGTATTGGCAGCTAATTTGTATTTTCAGAGAATCTCTGGATGTTTCAATAATTAAATATTTCAATACTAAATATTTAAAAAGGAAGAAAAATTGGCAAAATGATTTCTTAAAAAATAAATTTCTTGCCCTACTGGGCATGGCTCAACAGTTGAACATCAACCTAGGATCCAAGAGATCTCAGTTCAATTCCTGGTCAGGTCACATTCCCTGGTTGCGGGCTCAATCCCCCAGTCAGGGGCATGTAGGAGATAGCCAATCAATGATGACTGTCTCATCATTGATGTTTCTATCTCTCTCCCTTCCTCTCTCTGAAATCAATAAAGATATATTAAAATAAATAATAAATAAATAAATAAATAAATAAATAAATAAATAAATAAATAAATTTCTTAACAAACAACAAAATAACCTTGAGGAAAGATATGTCCTTGATCTTATTGCTGGCTTAATTCTTTCTCCAACCTCTCTAGGTGTATATAGTAGTTGGTGAATTTTCAGTACCACGAACCTGGTCATTTCAGAATTACCTAACCTATCAGCAAAAACCCTTGTAATTGCTTAATGTATGGTTTGAGAATTAGTGGTTGTAGATGGGGGTCCCCAAGACCACCCTTAGGGTCAGTGATTTCACTGGAAGGACTCACAGAACTCAGCTAAACTGTTATACTCGTGGTGACAGTTTATTACAGTAAAAGGTTAGAGATTAAAATCAGCACCACAAAAAGGTACACAGGGCAGAGTCCAGAAGAGACCTGGTTCAAGCTTCCTATTGTCCTTTCCCAGTGGAGTCTTATGGACGGTCTTAATTCTTCCAACAACAATGTATGACAACACTAATGAAGTACTGCCTACCAGGGAAGGTCGCCCAAGCCTTGCTGTCCAGGGTTTTTATTGGTGGTCAGACATATAGACATGGAATGCCTTGTGGCTGACTTGACTCAGTCTCTTGCTTTTCCAAAAGTCAAGCTCATACCATGCTGCCCAAGGACCCAGGTAAAAAAGACACTTTAATCAGGCAGAATATTCCAAGGGCTTATAGAGGTCATCTCCCAGGAGCCAGTCAAGCACCAAACCATTCTTTGGAATGTGCAGGGTTTGGCCACCTAGGCCTGCTGAGTTAATTCTTTATTGCACAGTGACTCATTAGAAAAATGATCTAGATCAATAACCTCTTAAGCTCTGGTTGTCACCTAACAGGTTAAAGCAACTCTTTTAATAATACCTTACATGTGCATAGCTGTTTGTAATTCACAAAACAATTTATGTCACTTGATATACCAGTCCTTTGAGATGGAAGATCTCATTTTGCAGATGAAAAATTGAGTGGAGCTCAAGAAGAGATTAAATGATGTACCTAAGGAATCAAGCAGGAAGAGAGATAAAAAGAGGAAGTGTTTCATCTGGTTGAAATGGTGGTAGAATAGCAACCCCATACTTAATCCTAGTTTTTAACGGTTTCACATTGTTTTATTTTAACTGTATAATGATTTTCTATTTGGTAATGCCAGCTTCTTTACCCTGGTATTTACTTCTCTCAAATATTCTTTTAAAAATGTTAGTGGCTATTTTTTCTAATTTTGTCCAAAAGACTTAATTTTGTTGTTTCCCTCGTTCCATACATATAAAAACCCCATCTACCTATATTTTATAATTATAGGAGGGCCTTGACATTCTTGAAGTAAAGGTTCTAGAGGTCCTTCATCTGAAGGAAACTGTGAATACATAATACAAATAGAGAGGGAGAACCTAGGGGAGAGTCAAAAGAAGAAGCATCTTCCATATTTCTTTCAGAAATGGGAGGGATGACCAGATGGGCTATGTGAGTTTTAGGGGTCCAATAAATAGCATTCCTCCTTTACACTTGAGTTTGGAACCAATTGAGAGGAAAAAGATTGTGCATATGGCTTTTGATCTCCAGTCAAGTGGCTTGTAAATATGTTACTGCTGAATTAGAGGCTTCTCGTCTAATCCATGGCACAGCTGAGGACGTGCAGAAACCCCTCCAGCCCAGCTCACACAAGGCATATGGCGAAGAGCAGCCTAGAATTCACGCATGCCTCTTGCAGACAAGCTGGGGAGGGGCCAGGTGGATGGGGAGAGAGAGGGAAGAGAGAAAGAGAGATATATCCCAGTTCCTTCTTCCAATTTCACCAATCAAATGAACTCAATTTTCCTTTCATAGGGAGTGGTGAGCAAGGGGTAGGGAGAAAGTCTAGGGATGTTTCTCTAGGAAAGACCTTCCACATTGAACACATGAGGAATGGAGATTAAGAATTCCCTTCAACAGATTAATGAGAAGAGGCAGGGATAATTGGAGCTATTGTGCTGAACTGGGAGAGGCAAGGTTTGCAATCTTCAGGTGATTCCCGATTACCCAAATCGGACATTAGCAGTGTGTTTCATTTAGCCACTCTGGTTGGTTATAAGGGTAAGACACGGAAAGGCAACATAATGTGGTGAAGAGCATGCACTGTGATGCCAGACGCATTGAGTCCCTGATCTGCCACTTGCTGTGTGACTGAATATCTTACTTAACCATTCTGCACCTCATTTCCTAATCTATAAAATGGGCTAACGATGGTACCTAATTCATAGTGTTGTTATGAGAGTTAAATGAATTAATATGTGGAAAGCACTTAGAACAATGTGTAGCATAGAAAGCAATATCTAAAATATATGACTATTATTAATGTGGATATTACTATACGAGAGTGTTATGTAAACTGTAGATATACATGGTAACACATTCTGCACAATATTAAAGGCAGCCCGAAGATGATACCAGTTTTGACAAGAGCCCTGGCAATGTTGGCAAAACTGTATTCTGTCTTCTTTTCTTTTGTTCTACCTCCCCCGTTCTTAGGAGCCCAGCAGCACCTCCACTGCTCGAAGTTCTGCAGCCTGTGCAGGTCTGCTGCCTTAGAGGCCTGCCCTTCATTCTTTTGATGGCTAGATTTTCTGTAACAAAAATTGGGACTCATGCTGAGAAACTATGAAGTAGATAGGAATTGGTTTGGAAGTATAAAGGTGTGAAACTCTAAACTTCATTTTCCTTATAAGTGAAATGGGAATGTGGATAATGATTCCCAAAGGATTCCCCATGAAAACTGGAGTCTGTGCTCCTGAGTTAGTCACTTCCTTTTCCTTTTCCCATCCCCCAAATGAAAACTGAAATTTAGTGTGTACTGTGCAAATAGTGGGTTACCCATAAATGTTGAAGCTAACCTCACTTTCTATTCAACTGGTTAAAGCCTTTGATATAAGATCCATATGTAGTTTAAGTACTTATAACAAAAGGAACATTGGTACCCTGCAGAGATTTTAAAATATTTTCACTAAATTCCACTTAGCACCTTGCCATCATCCCTCTGCCTGAAATGCGTGCTCCTCCCAGATCTTTACATGACGAATTCCTTGTCATTTGGGTCTTAGATTAAATATCATCTCACCACATTTTATCAGTGTCTTCACTAGTAAGTTCTACCCGTTATTTAAGAAATAATGTCAATCTAATATAGACTCTTCAGGGGAACAGAGAAAGAGGGAGCTCTTCCCACTCATAAGGCAGCATAATCCTGATACCAACATTGACAAGGATGTTAGAAGAAGCTGTAGGCCATCCCTCATGAACAAAACATAGAACAAAAATCCTGAATAAAATATTAGCAAATTGAATCCAGCAATACATAAAAGGATAAAAGATTATAAATTAGACCTTCTTTAATGTTTTTCAAAAGACATAAATGAAAGGTTGGAATTTCTTTATTACTACTTTGACTATTCAGATAATGTGCCTTTGACTGTGATTCCATTGGAGCCTGGGTCATTAGGGTCCAGATTCATAGAGATTGCAAATAGTTCAGCATGCCTTCATAATTTAAATCTTTATCAAGAATCGAGGTATATTTTAAATATGAAAGTAAATGTATTTTATGACATTGTCTAAAGTGTATTTTGATTCCAAACTTTTCATTTTCAGCTTTGATACATTCAATAACAGACATTTACCTTGTTTTGCAGATCAAGGTATTTTGGAAACTATATTAATAGATAGCTGTATTTTTCCAAGTACTACAATAGTAAGTAGACACCATTTATATAATTAGCTATCTCGTGATTGTTATTTAGAAAGTACTAAAAAGCCTTCAGGTTTAAGTCATAACTAGTTTGCTAAATGCTGACACCTCTTCGAAGTATATTCTCAACTCTTTTCTACTTCTGATGCTTCTAATACTGACCCTAGTCCTTTCATTCAGATGAGCATACCAAAAATTGTCTTCTTTGAAAGATTTATTTTTTACTGGACTATTTTTTTTTTTTTTCTATTTTGAAGTCTTTATCTCCCAATCCAACCAGACTATGTGAATATAGTCATATTCCTGCTGTCTTATGAAAAATAATGGAATGGAAAATATTGCTATTAGATACTGTTTATATACTTATGTTTATGTGTGTTTCCCCTTGGTAGCCAGATCATTTGAGCTGTCTAATTATTGTGATGCTGTATGATTTCCAAGATAGAAAATTTCAAGCTCGTCTCCTTTCTAAAAACGAAGAGTCCATAGAGGAAGTTCAAGAAGTAGAGAACCTTCTTAACAGGTAGTCATAAAAGTGAAAAGGATGTTTTATATGAAATCATTATTACTATTTTCTTTGGCAAAATTCTATACAGTATAATGTGTAGATGAGTTAAAATTTATAGAGAAAAAATATAAAAATTTATAAGTTTCCTAAGCTCCTTTAAAAACAATATTAAATAGGTTAAATATTCTGTTTAAAATCAAATTGTTTTTGAAAGCTTGAACTGTAAGATCCAACTTGTATTTGGAAAATCATGAAAAATCCCTAATAATTTTTTCACATACATAAATTAAACTTCATTTGAAGCAGCTATTACTTATTTACTTAACTTTGTTTATAGCTCTTTTTAAAAAAAATCTAACCTGTATCAAATGAGAATTCCAGCAGTAGATAAGAACCCACTGCTTTGACAAATTGAAAAAAACACACCAATTTTTACTTAGTTAAGAACAAATATGTTTTAATTTTGTTTTTCTTTTTATCCTAAATATTAGCAGAAACCTATTATGGAAATAACAATAAAAAGGTGGTGGGGAGAACTAACTAAACTAATGCATGTAAAATGCTTCGATTAGAGCCAGACACATAGTAAATGGTCAATAAATGTTAAGTGCTGCTGTTGTTAGGGCTTTTGTTGTTATGCTGTTGAACCTTAATAGAAAGCACAATATAGCAACAACAATCTTGTAGGAAGATTTTACCTAATGAGTAATTTGAAACAGTTGTCAGTATGATATCTGATTTTATATTGTTATGGGAAATTCAAGCAGTTTCACTGAGACCAGAGGACGCAGGCAATGGTAATAATATTAATGGCTTACATTTACTGAGCACTTAATTTATATCAATCACTGTTATAAGAAGCTCTTTACATAACTACCTTATGAGGTGGATACTGTTACCAACCTGTGTTTTTCCCCATGGGAAAATGGAGGCACAGAGAGGTTAAAGGAACCTATCTAATGTCATAGAGCTAGAAAGGGGAGTAGACAGAATTCAAATTTCAGGAAGTCTGATCCAGAGCCTAAGCTTTAACTGTTTATATGCTGTCACTCCTTGCACTTAGGACAGTGAGGCTTGGCTGAAGTACTCTGGAAGATTAAAGATATAACACAGTCATATCTCATGTCAGTTGTAGCCATGAGAAATCGTGGGATGGAGATTTAAGCTTAGGAATTACATAACTACAATTTAATATATAGAAAGAAAGCTCTGGCTGCATGTACAATGGGGATGCTGGTAAAAAGAGGTACTAAGCAGTTTTCTGTGATAACATTCAGGTTGTAGCAGGAGATGGACTTCTAGATCAAGAGTGTTGGGAAAGGCTGTTTTTGCCTCCATTTCTATCATTGCAGTCTGCCTTAGACTATGGGAGAATCTTTTTCAGTAGCCACAGAGTATTTCATTTACAAAAGTAATATCTGGTTATCCTAATAGCATTTAGATTTGGTCTTTGTCCTCAATCTGATATTGTATATTTATATAAAATCTTTATAACTGCATATATACTTTAAATTACTTCTTGTGTGATTAAATTATATTAAAATTCACAGTCCAAAATATCTGTTATCTGGAAATTTGGAAAATTATTTCTCCCTGTACTTACCCCTTATACCCAACAAATATATTTTTCTAGGTTTCATATCTCTAATCTTCATATTTCATGATTAAATAATTCAGTCAGTGCATTTATTATGGTAAATTTGAACTACATGGGTATTTTGGAAAGACTGTTTAATCAAAAATAGTCTACTCAGAATCATTTCATACTGTATAATATAGAATAGTCACTCATCCCCTTTATATTAACGTATTCTTTATGTGCATGAATGCATTATGCAATTGTTTTTAGTATCACTTGGTGTAGTTCTGTGACATTAGGACAAAGCACTACACAGATCTAACTTTATTATAGCCCTAGAAGACTTAATGTTTGATAACCCTTCTCTCTCCTTTCCAAATGCCTGCTATGTTCTTTTTCTCTCCCTCTCTCTTTCTCCCTCTTCCTCTCTCTCCCTCCCCCACTTCCTCATGCATGTACATATATTCACACATAAACACATTCTTATGTGAAAAACTCTCATTCTCCTGAGTAGATAATAGTTGTACTTGACTCTCTGTCCCATTTCTCCTTCAAGGTTATCCTTGAGGTTTATTATTCAATTAGATTCCTTCTGTGAAAATGACATGAATATGGGTTAAGAACAAGCCCTGTATTCTCATTTATTAAAAACTGGGCTGTGAGATCAAGAAAAATGATTGGGTCTTCATGGTCATGCTAACCAATTCTTGTTTTTCTTCTCTATTGTTTGGAACTTTGAGGCGTGGAATAATCAGAACTGGGATGGGCTTGATACAAATTCATGAAAGTTCCTTAATCTTATCAAGACTACACTGCAGCTCTGGCCTGGTACTCAGTTGGCTAGAGTGTCGTCCTGATATGCCAACATTGCGGGTTTGATCCCCGGTCAGGGCACAGACGAGAAATAAACCAACAAATACATAAATAAGTGGAACAACAAAATCAATGTCTCTGTCTCTCTTTCTAAAATAAAAAACTATACTGTAGCCATCTTGAGGTCACACAACTAGTAAGGGACAGAACCTGAATTTAACTTCAGATTTGTCTGACTCTAAATCCTACAACTCTTTCACTATATCATATTTTTCTCTCAGCTAACAAGTATCTGAGCAGATGCACAACTATACAGGGGCAGCAAAAACTGAAAAGAGGAAGCAGGATTATTGGATTTCTATTTTCAAATATGGCACATTTTTATTTTAGACTACAAAAATTTAAAATAGAATTACCAAAGGATTTATGAAAATTTGAAATCTAATTTGTTAATGTTTGTAGTGGAAAGTTGATAGTATTGTCTTCAATGCAATAGTCACCAAGAATTGATTTTCTATCTCTAGTTTTAAGACAAAATTGGCTGCGGCATTGGCAAGATATCGAATCAAACATGATGCCCTTTCAATTTACCACATTCTTCCAGAAACAGTTAGGAACCAGGAGCTAAGGGCCTCCACTTTACCACTTTATGCCTGGATAAATACCTCTAAAATCAGGTAAGAGTCTTACTCAAATTCTTTATTCATAGTTTAAATTGCCAACCTTTCAAAATAATGTGATAAGAAATATTATCTTGCCTGGCCGGGCGTGGCTCAGCAGTTGAGCATTGACCTAGGTAGGATTCGGGAGATCGCAGTTCGATTCCCGGTCAGGGCACATGCCTGGGTTGTGGGCTCGATCCCCAGTTGGGGGCGTGCAGGAGGCGACCGATCAATGACTCGCTCATCATTGATGTTTCTCTTTCTCTCCCTCTCCCTTCCTCTCTCTGAAATCAATAAAGATATATTAAAAAAAAAAGAAATACTATCTTTTAAATGGGTGGGGGGCACATCTGGAGGAGTCATTGGAGAATCATAGTTTAGTTCACAATCTTATCACCAAATTACCAAAGATAATCACATAAATACGTTAACTTTTCTGTCTCTATCTTAACTTATTGTTGCCTAATATTGTAAGTTCCATTAGATGTGATATAGGCAGTGGAATTATTTTTTATTATAGGAAAAGATGCTAGTGTTAAATATATATTTTTAATGTATTATACTTGCAGTTACAACCTAATGTTGTATATTTACAGCCCTGAAGAAGTTTATTATAGTTTGAAGAAAAAAGGCTACAATAAAGTCAAATCTGTATTGCACATTGGTGGTAAAGTCTTTGCTGTGGACCAACATTGCTACGATGTCTTAGTTTTCCCATCTCATCTTAAAAGTGATCTTCTAAATGTAGATCTTTTCAAAGATTATAAACTGATATTTCAGGTAAATTAACATTTATATTCATTGTGATTCTCAATAACTCTACTCACCCAAAGAATCCCTCCACTTAAAAGTAAAACCTAACAAACTGATTATATTTTTTATAGATTATCAGGGAGGTTTATAAGTTCTAATTTTCACCTTGAATAAAGTTACTTTCTCCACAGTCAGTGTTCCTCTGTACTTTGGCTCTGTGTCCCAGGTGAAGTCGTAAAGAACATGTCCTCTCCAGACTCCATGGGGGGAGGCCTGTATGCTGGCAGCTGTATTTTCCTCTCCCAAGGGCAGATTCAGAGAATCTAGAAAGGTGTGATGATACCTCTTCCCCCTCCATTTCTATGGAGGGTGCTGGCACCGCCCTGCCTTTGAAAATGCCCCATGTAATGCTTTCCCGTCATCTCTTTATACAGCCTTACAGCTGTGATTTGTAAGAAGTGTATCATGTCTGTCAATGCAGGGAAAGAATGTGAGATATAATGAGGTTTCCATAAAATGAAAAATAAAAGGTCCAAAATATTAAGTTAAATTAATTTTTATGTCCTTAGATTCCAATTCTTACTTCAGATTCACCTGGGTCTTCTTAGGTTTGTCCCTTCACCGCACCCATATTCTTAGGCAGAATGTTTTGGCATTATATTAGAGTGACATCCTGCTAAGCTCTGAGATCAGCTGCAGAATCCCAGTCTGTCTAGCCCCCTTTTATACACTTGTCAGCCATCTTTTAATCTCTGTGAACTAGGAGCAATTTAGATTACAATATAATGGGGAAAAAGAATGGCAGTTCCCCCGGCCAGGTAGCTCAGTTGGTTAGAGCATTGTCTTGATAGGCCAAGGTTGCTGGTTTGATCCCCACTCAGGGCACACACAAGAAGCAGCCAATGATGCATAACTAAGTGGAACAACAAATCAATGTTTCTCTTTTGTTTCCTCTCTCTCTCTCTCTCTCTCTCTCTCTCTCTCTCTCTCTCTCTCTCAAA